TTGTTGTGTGTGTGTGTGTGGTGTGTATCTAACTACATAAAGTAATGTTGTGTATGTGTGTGTGTGTGTGTGTGTGTGTGTGTGTGTGCATCTAAACCTACATAAAAGTATGTTTGTCTGTGTGTGTGTGTGTGTATCTAAACCCATATAAAAGTATGTTTGTGTGTGTTTGTGCGTGTTTGTGCGTATCTAAACCCATATAAAGGTATGTGTGCGTGCGTATCTAAACCCATATAAAGGTATGTGTGTGTGCGCGCATCTAAACCCATATAAAGGTATGTGTGTGCGTGCGTATCTAACCCATATAAAGGTGTGTGTGTGTGTGCGCATCTAACCCATATAAAGGTATGTGTACATCTAACCCATATAAATGTATGTGTGTGTGTAAACCAACCTATATAAAGGTATGTGTGTACATCTAACCCATATAAAGGTACGTGTGTGTGTAAACCAACCTATATAAAGGTATGTGTGTACATCTAACCCATATAAAGGTACGTGTGTGTACATCTAACCCATATAAAGGTATGTGTGTGTGTGTATCTAACCCATATAAAGGTATGTGTGTGTGTGTATCTAACCCATATAAAGGTATGTGTGTGTGTGTATCTAACCCATATAAAGGTATGTGTGTGTGTGTGTGTGTGTGTGTGTGTATCTAACCCATATAAAGGTATGTGTGTGTGTATCTAACCCATATAAAGGTATGTGTGTACATCTAACCCATATAAAGGTATGTGTGTACATCTAACCCATATAAATGTATGTGTGTACATCTAACCCATATAAATGTATGTGTGTGTGTGTGTGTACATCTAACCCATATAAAGGTATGTGTACATCTAACCCATATAAATGTATGTGTGTATATCTTACCTACATAAAGGTGATTACGATCTGGAGATTACCAACTGGAGATTAACAGTGTCGTGAGTATATACATTAAGATTATCATCTGGAGATTAACAATGTCATAATTATAGACATTATGAATTTTCTGTGTAGAAATTAATAATTTAAAATATACAGATATTAAGAATATGGTCTGTGGGAATTAATACTGTAGAAAATAGTGTATTTTATTTTTAATCTATGTATCCATCACACTAAGTGTTGAAATATTCCTAAACACGCAACTCCCCAGTTTTCAAAGTAGCAAGAGGGGTTTCTATGTATCCTAGATTTGGATAACTGTACCATCTAGTTTCTAGAAGGTTTATATTATTGATACTCTGTGTTTTTTTTGTGTGTCCCAGATTCAGATAACTGTACTATCTAGTTTCTAGAAGGTTTATATTATTGATACTGAGTTGTTTCTGTGTGTTCCAGATTCAGATAACTGTACCATCTAGTTTCTAGAAGGTTTCTATTATTGATACTCTGTGTTTTTTTTGTGTGTCCCAGATTCGGATAACTGTACTATCTAGTTTCTAGAAGGTTTCTATTATTGATACTGAGTGGTTTCTATGTGTCCCACATTCAGATAACTGTACCATATAGTAACTATATGGTTTGTTTTAATGCTGGTTGGCTTCTCCATGTTCTAGACTCGGGTAACTTGGACATCTAGTGACTATTATCTAGTTTATATCAGTGATGCCTGTTTTTTTCTGTATGCTTCAGGACTCAACATTTACTTTGATAATCGCTTGTCATGTAAGATATAAGACAGCTAAAGGAAATTTGTTTACATTTCCGAATCTTAACTTTTGATTTTCAGAGTAATATGCTTCTCTTTAGGCAGTATACTATAACTGTTATTATTATATGATAAATTATTTTTTATGAAACAATTTCATACTTACATGAAGTGCTGGTTAGTTTTAATACTAGAACAGATACTTGATCAAATATCAGATATAACAACATAACAGTCACAATTTTATTAAGGGTTGTAATAACCTTGTATATATGATTAGTTATAGGGTTTCATTAAGTATAACAAATGAAAGATTTTTAAACCTTTTACAATTTTCCTTAGAACATTTGTGATACTGGGTGGAACATTTATACCTTTAACTTGCTTAAAGGTTTATCTGGATTAGATACACATTTTTATATGGATTAGATACACATTTTTATATGGGTGAGATAAACATTTTTGTATATGTTAGATACACACACACTTGTATAGGTTAGATACACACACACTTGTATAGGTTAGATACACACACACTTGTATAGGTTAGATACACACACACTTATATAGGTTAGATACACACACACTTGTATAGGTAAGATACACACACTTATATAGGTAAGATACACACACTTATATAGGTAAGATATACACACACACTTATACAGGTAAGATACACACACACACTTATACAGGTAAGATACACACACACACTTATACAGGTAAGATACACACACACACTTATACAGGTAAGATACACACACACACTTATACAGGTAAGATACACACACACACTTATACAGGTAAGATATACACACACACTTATATAGGTAAGATATACACACACACACTTATATAGGTAAGATATACACACACACACACTTATATAGGTAAGATATACACACACACTTATATAGGTAAGATATACACACACACACACACCTTTATGTAGGTAAGATATATACACACACACACACACCTTTATGTAGGTAAGATATACACACACACACTTAATATGTATAATTACGACATTGTTAATCTCCAGAGTAATTATACATATTAAGATTACCAATTAACAATGTCTTCCAGA